CATCTCAAAGTGTACTCACAAAAGCCTCTTCCAAGCAAGTAAATGATAGGCAGAAATTAATCCACTGTATACTAAGGATTCTGTGTGACCTTAATAAAGACAGGCAGGAGACTGGACCATCTATTTTGCTGGAATACAAAGGATTTTGTTCCCTGATTTTTGTGTGTGGGGTGTGGAGGGTGTTGTTTTTAAAGACAGAAGCATGAATACCACTAACTGTCAGATCCTTGACCTTTTAGAAAGAAAAGATGCTCTTAAATTATTAATAATGCCTGTGCTGTCTGGTTATAGCAAATGCCAAAATACATCACTGCATAAGAGTTCAATGAGGAAGCTTAAAGAGTCACATGGAGATGCTAACAGAAACAAGTGGGTTTCTAACAGACATCTCCATTTTGATATGCCAGTAACATAAGAAACAGTTCAGAACATGAAGAAAACAAAAAAAAATGCTAAAGAGAAAATAAGGTACAGATTTTTTAGTCCATATATAACTTCAGTTTGAGGTCATTTTGCCTCTGTCCCATGGAAATAAACCAATTTTACCAGATATTAACAGTCATGTGGAATTGCTCACTACTGTCTGCGTGACCGGGTTTAAATTTATTAGGAACTCTCTATTTCTTGAGTGTAAAGGATATCAGGCAGGAACCAGAAAAACCAGGTCATGGCCATCCAAAACACTGAACTTAGCAGAAACGCTGTGGGAAGGTACCTTAGATTCTTGAACCCCACAAGGTGCCTGAAAGAAGAGAAAAAGTGTTTTTCAAAATATATTTAAAACACAACTCCAAAGAATGCAAATCATCTGGTTTGTTATTTTAATATTTCAGGTCTCTCAAAGCAATCAAGAACTGTCACATCCAGATGTGAAGGGGGTTAACAAAGCAAAAATCAAACTGAAGAGTTCCAGCCCAGTATTACACAATGAGAAGTGCTCATTAAAACTCATTCTCTGTCAAAATACAGCAGGAAAAGTTGTGGCAAAGCACATTTCTAAGCACTGTGAATGGATATCTCAGTGTCAATCAGATGCAGATAGTCAATAACACACTCTTTAACATTAAAAATAGCTAACAGACTGGGTTGGGGATTTTTTTCCCCAAATCTTTCAGCCATGAGAAACTATTGCTGCGTACACCTAAAGACATTCAATTTCTATGGTCATTCATTCAAAAAAGTACATATATTTCAATTTCTCACACACTCTGCAGCCATTTCTCAGGTTTTCTTTATGCTAAGTAAAACTAATCCCTGACAAGAATAACACATTATATAGCTTATATGGTGTCTCTAACAATTAATTATAGAAAGAAAAAGCCACAAACCTCACAAACAGAGCCATCACAAAGAGCAGGCACAGGAGCACAACTCCTTTCAAAAGCCAGGAATCAGAACTCAAGTTCATGACGTATCCTATGGCCCACATCAGTGTCAGGGAAGTTGCCAACATCAGGAAGAGCTATTAAAATTATTATTGTTAGAATATAACAAAGTATTCAAGCACGACTTACTTAAAAGTACTCAGTTCATGTAAGAACAAATGCTGAAAGGCTCCAGATAGATAAGACAAGATGAATCCAGCAGGGGGAAGGAATAACACAAAACCCCCAGAAACCACTGCTTTGTGGTTTTAAAGAAATTTAAAGAAATTTATTTTTGAGCACCCAATTTCAGAAACCTCAGAAGTTCCTCTTGTTAGAATAGAGTTAATTGCATATCACTCCAAACACAGCATGCTGTAGTTTTATATCCATTAGTTATTACTTGGGAAATTACCTCATATTTCTCCACTACTTGCAGTAACCCACTACTTCTCCTGCTTCTCATCCTTTCTTCCGCTTTTATCATATAAACTGTGAAGCGATCCAGGCTTTGATAAGCAAGGTCAAGTGGTGTCTCTCCCTTTAACAACAGAGAGGGCTGATTATTTATGCACTTAACACATAAATATTTTGCTTTTTAACAGAAGAAAATAATACAGTTAAAACAAGAATACCTGGCTACTTCCCAGCTCCATCTCCTCCCCAGTTTTTTTAAGGCAAGGGTAAGCTAAATTCAGAGTTTTAACATGCTTAATTCAGTGCTTTGTGGTTCTGAAAATTGATACTTGCAAACAGATTGCATCCATTTGACTTGTATGTTGGACTGCCTCCAATAACCTGAAAAGCTAAACTGTCAGCTATAATATTACAGGCTTAAAGGGAAGGTTTCTTGTTTATGTTAACTGTTTAAAACCAAAACAAATACCCTAAGTCACACCCATGAATGAAAAAAAAAGCAGCAGATGGAAAAGCTGCAGTTTCATACACAAACCTTGAATAACCACACTGTACAAATATAGCTATATAGTTGTGGAATTAATGCTTTCAACATTTATACTTCTCACAATCAATTTTTACAGATATTAAGATGAAGGCTTTGGGTTGAGACCAGCACTCTTGAAGGTACAAACAGGTGGTGGCAAACACTGCTTTCACAGCATGATGTGCATGGATTTTGAAGTCTTTGAGTCTGACTGGACACTAAGACACTGTCAGTTTTTAAAGTCTTTATTCCTCATGGCAACGTTTTGAAGTAGGAAACAGCCAAATTAAGAAACAAAAAAGAGATGAAACCCCAAGAAAACAAAACAAAAGGGGGGTGTGTGTGGGAACCTGCAACGGGCACAATTATCTTGAGTGAACAAAAGGTTTGGTTGTGCATTAAACAAATGTTCATACTTGGAGTCATACCCCAAGAAAGGTGCTAATTCCTCTTGGGAAATACCAAGAACACCTGCTCCTAGTCAACCCCTGTTGTAATTAATATCCCACATGGAGAAGACTTGAATTTTTCTTTACACTCACTTCACACATTCATGCCACATGGGATGAAGTACCATGAAAGAAATCATACCTTGACATTTTTTATGTCCAGGCTGGCACCAGCTTCCAGCAACAGATCCACTGCACTAGTATTTCCTGATGCTATTGCCCAATGCAGTGCAGTATTCTTTTGAACATTGTCTACAGCATTGAGAGAGGGGTTAAACTTTAAGAGAAACCTCGTGGGTTCTGGTCTGGATGAAAATAAAGTGCAACAGTTAACAAACAGAAGCCAATCTATACTGGAAATGAAAATTTTGAACACCTTATAAAACCACTGTTCCAATCTGTGAAACAACAGCAGGTATGCAAAGCTTTGTCTCAGAACAAGCTCAGCAAGTTTAGAATTCAGTACCTGCACAGAGGGTTTTCCTCTAAACTATGTTATCTCCCAATATTTTAACAAATATGAGGTATATAACACAGATTCTATCTTCTACGACATCATGTATAAGCTTACACCACATTTTATTTGTTCTAAATGCATTTCACTGTGTCCACCTTCTTTTATTTTCATTTTGGGGAAAGCACAATAAAACTGCAGATGATTTGGCCACAAACCTAAACTTCTTGTACAAATTCTTTTGACTTTATTTGCTATATCCTATGAGCCAGCTGCTAACTCCTGAGCTCTGAAATATTATGTATCTTAGTACAAATGAAAGGGAGAGGAATATCAGTTTAAAAAAAAACATGAGAAAAAATTTCCATCGCTTGGGTACAGGAAAACAGATTCTTGTCCAGTTATTCACTACTTACCCCATGGCTTTTTGTGCTGCTAACATCAAAGGTGTTTGTCCATTCAAGTCTGTTGTGTCTATGTTCTAGCAATAAGAAAAAAGGTAACAAGCAAATGATTAGCAGTGATTCAGAAACCAGTGAGATGCTCAGGTTTAGAGTCATCCAACTGCCTTAGCTTCACTAATTGAAAACAAAATGGAAAGAAACCAAGTTATACCACCTAAGAAGACAACACTCATTTAAACATTTTTCCACTTCTATGAGACTTGCATGTTATTCCTTTCAAATTATTCAGAGTTTCCACTAAGGACATTTTTATGGGAGAGTCTCCTCTAAGCATATTTTCAGGTAAATTCTGTTAAACATATTTCTTGTCCTCTTTTGCAGAAAAATACTATAAATAAGATGCACCTTGTAAAGCAATGTGACCCATCTTCCTTGTGCAAATGGAGGTACACAACAATGTCCAAGTATATAAACCAGGTTTATTAAAACAACAAAAAAGGACTGTGTATCTCAGGATATAGTTAAGCAACTAACCTGGATTACCTAATTTTCTTCCTTCTTCTGAATTAAGGTCTGCTTTTGCCCTGCCTCCACCCATCATTACATTAGAGCAGATTTACTTGGAAGAAATGATTAATCATTTGGATTTTTTTAGTAGAAGACAGATGGGCTAAGAACTTCATTGAGTCTGTGATATACAACATCAGTTACTCTACTAAAGAGAATTCTCTGAGAAAGAAAACACTCAGCAAAGTTTTAAATCCTAATACTCTAATGTTTCTAAGAAACAGTCTAGATCACATAAGAAATCTCCTCTCATTTTTATTAGCAAGTTGTTACACTTGTCATTTATTCTGCTCCTTCCAGATGCAAATTAAGTCATCAACTAGAGTGGATACACCATCAAATTAAATACAGAAACTTCTAATAAAAATTCAGACCTTCTAATAAAAATTCATCTATTCTGCATAATTCAACTGAGGGACAACTGTATGGATTATCAGTTCCAAACCCTTAGTCAAATTGTAAATACTTTGTGATGTATATACCTTAAATATTGTTTCTTGTTCTCAGGTTTAAAAGCCGGTTGTTATTTACACAGCACCACAAATCTCCACAGCCTTAAAGACTCCTTAAACACTCTGACAGGTATGGGAAGTCATGGCTCAGGAAAAACAGTGGTAAAATACTGCTTAACTAGAAGACAAACCAGTTAATTCTGAGATGTATGGTACACACAGGCAGCTAATTGTTGACATGAAAAACATACCTGGCCTTTTGCTATGAGGTAAGCTATGATGGGCATGTGTTGGAACAACACTGCTAAATGAATGCCACTGAATCCTTCCCCATCAATGAGACTGGGATCTGCTCCACATTTCAACAATAACATGACCATGGGCAGGTGTCCTTGTCTATAACAACATAGGAAATGAAGCTATAGAGATGACTTGAAAAATGGATACTTGAATGAAAGCCTTGCCTTAATAATTCTCATAGAGACCTCACAAAGAACAACTGTCCTTCAGATTCTTATGATTTTATTCAGGAAGTGACTTTTAAGTTAAACGTTTGTATCAGGAAACTCTATCAAATATACATCTTCATAAATCAGCCTAGGGCAAACTGTTCATTTAGAATACAGTAGTTTTTCTACAGGAATTTCTCCTGTGAGCAGTCAATCAAGTGTCTAACTCTGGCAAAAGACTGACAGTCCAGAAGAAAGCCAATGTGAGAATTCACACTCAGAGAAGTTATCCCAGAAAAATTATTTAAGGTTATGTTTTCTCCAAACAAGCAGCACTTTATTCTTCAGACCACACAAAATGCTACTCCAGCTGTCAATACTAACAGATTTACAAACAGTAGTGGCAAGCAGCATACCTAACAGCCCAGTGAAGGGGAGTTGAATTCAAATCTCCACCCAGTTGATCCACTACAGCACCTTTGGAAATATAGTATCTGTGTGATAACAACACAGCAAGATTAAGAACAGACATCATAAAATACTAAAACATAACACAGGTCCAGTAGGAGACAGCTCATAAGAATTAAAAATAAAAAATCACTAGAGCAGCAAATGGACACAAGTATTTCTGCAGTAAATTATGCTGCTTTGAGAAAGTGTTTATGGAAAAGATAAAGCAATTAGCAAAGCACTTCTAAAATCAGCTTTCATCTTTGTTAAACAAACCAAACCCAGGAAAATCTAATTATTTCATGTACTGCACGATTTCACATATAAAGGAACTGTGTATCTTTACATTTCAGTGCCATTTTCACAAAGGTAAATGGGTTCAAATCTGAATTTTATGCTTTTCTTCTCATGCAGCAAGTTCCTGTGTTGTGAAGTACAACAGCAACTAAGAAACAGTGGCAAAATACTGGTGTGGCTTTCACAGGGACCCCTGAGCTTACTTAACCAGCTCCTGTCTGTTGTTTATTGCTGCCCAGTGAAGGAGAGTCACATTCTCTTTGTCTGGTTGTCGAACATCATATCCTGCTTCTACCAGTTCTCTGCATCGCTCCAGCATTCCATACCTTGAACAAGAAAAAAATCAATTTGCTTACTTGTTATTACATACATAATGACATCCCATACTTATTTTACTGATTTGTTAAATATTCTCCACTTTGGAGACAAACACATACTAAAGAATAAAATCAAACCCAGTAAGCATAACCCAGCAGTTCCTCCTTGAGCAAATTCCACACTGTACTTCAAAAGAAGTCTTGGAAAAAGAGTTGGGCTGAGCCTTGGTGAGCTGAATTTCCTACTTAACAAATCTTATTGAAATACCTTCGTTTAGGACATAAACAGTAACAATAGTAGCTGTAAGTAATTCTTCTTCTTCCATTACGGGGAGAAATAGAAACTGAAAATATCTCCATTGTAAGACTCGCCAGCCTGGCTCACATTAGAGGACACTCCCATCTATTTCAACACTAGGCACACTCAGAACATACTTACTGTGTAGCCTTAACAATATCACATGTGCTGGGATCTTCCACAGTGGGATATGGTCCTGGCTGAACTTCATCCCCGTGGGGGCTGTGGCTGCTGTGCACATGAGCTGCATGAGGCCCATGGCAATGGCTTTTACACTGCGGGTTAACAAAACATCTATTGCTACAACTCACAAACGAAAACCTAACCCGATTAATGAACAAACAATCACGACTCATAGACCGTACAGCACAGCTCCCTCCCCCCAGACGCACAGGCTGCACGAGTCGAGGTCCGCGGAGACAAATGAGGAAGTTCACGGTTAAAACCACCTGAGAGGAGACTAAAGCCTTTCACTGGCGCAGGACAGCGGCGCGGGCCAAAGGACAGACACGCCGAGCAGCCTGCGGAGCTGGTTCCCCACACAGCCCCCGCACCGCGCCGGGAACCGCGACCCACGGCCTAGCCAAGGGTTTAAACGCGCCCGAGC